TATTATATTTATTTTATATTTTATTCCTTCCTTCTCATTTATCTTTATTATTTACAATTTGTTTAATTTTTATGAACTTATTTTTTATGTTTGCTTATCTCTGCACTTTATTTAGTTTATATTTATTTCACATTATTTTTATTTTGATAATTTTAAACTTTTTTAATTTTAAAAATAATTATATTCAATTTTTATAATTTTATTTGTTACTTTTTAATTTTCTTTAGTTTGCATTTGTTTCTTATTATAATTTTGTTATTTTATTTAGTTTTATTTATTTTATTTACATTCTTATATATTTTTTAACTCTTTTAGTTTTTCATTTCGCTTCCGGCCCAAAATATTCACTTTTATACTTAGCTCTAATTAAATAGCCAATCGTTTCAAATTGGGCTTCTCTTTACTGTAATTCATAAGTCCTGAGCGCTTAACGCCGCCAGCATTTACTATTTTATGAATAAACTGTACTTCCAATACATATATCTCGTGTTTTATTATCATACATTTTGAGAATCTTTTGAATTGTTTATTGAGCAAGTTGCAAAGTCGTGGGCATAAATACTTTATAATTGTAGCTTAGGAATTAGACACATAAATAGATAGAGATTATGTTAAGCCACGCCTACAAGGCGGCTGCTGCGTTGCAGTCACTGCTGCGCTGCCTTCGTCTGCGTGTCCTGGCCGGGATCGGCCTGGGACTCGCTGGGCTTGGCCGCCGTTTGGGCCGCAGCTGCTGGCATTTGGGCGCTACCATTACCACCACCATCACCATTTGAGCCGGCTGGATCGGTCGGGCTCTCGGGGACCGCATTGCTGTCCCGGTCGAACAGATAACTGCCGCCTAGAGGGCGTGGTCGGCCACCATAGGAAGAGCTACAAGGGGCGACAAGAGAGCAAGCCTATCTTAATGATTTTTACAGTTCCGCACAGCATCGCATGCTACTAATCATCTACTCAAGTAAACGAAAACGATCGAGGAGAGTGGGTGAGGTACGAAGAGTTATTCAGCTGTGGCCACTCTGCACCCACTGCAACTTACCTCTGTGGATCACGCTCTCTATCACGACCACCGCCGCCACCTGAGCTGCTGCTGCTCGCACCGCCCGCTGAGCTGCCACTGCCAGCACCAGCAGCACCTCCACCACCACCAACACCACCACCACCACCGCTATGGCTGCCGCCCATTGGGCTCGGCTTGTCCTGATCGCCCAGATATGTCCAGCCGCTCTGGCCACTGGGCTTGCCCATGACTGTGGTGTGGCCGCCGCGATAGCCGTCGCTGTCGATGGCCGAGGAGGAGACCTTGGTGCCGCCGCGATCACCGTACGGGCAGTTGCTGATCAGGTGGCCGCAGGGCGGGGCAGAGGCGGACGATTGGCCGCGCTCGCGATCGTAGACAGGCAGAGCGCCGGAGCGACGATCGTCGTCATCCCTAGCGAAATAATAGCCACGGCCTGAATTATCGAAGCCCGACTGGCCTCTGGGTGCGTGGGTGCAGATTACAAGTGGTACAGAACAGGAGAGTGGGTGAGGTTCAAGTGCAATTAAATCCACATAATCGTATTTGGCGTAGAGTATCCAGAGTTCATGTTGTTGTGGTGTTTTGTGTGTTTGGTTAACGTTGTTGTTGATCGTGTTGTTGTTGTTGTAGTTGTTGTTGTAGTTGTTGTTGTGGTGTTGTTGTTGTATGTAAGCAAGAGAGCAAGAGCGTTAGATTTGACAACACAATACAAAAATGAAATCAAAACGTAAACAAGGAAATAAGAGTAGTAGAGCAGGATAGCGATACCTGTAGGTCTCATCCCATGGACGATAGTTGCGAAAATCATACCTTGAATAGTAGCGATCGTAGGGATCGTATCTGTCATAGCCGGTACGTGAGCGATCATAATACCGATCTGCAAATTGAATTGATTAAAAATTAGAGCTGAACTTAACCGAAGCTGCATCGCTACGCACCGCGCGAACTGTCACGATCGCCATAGTAACGATCTCGGCTGTCGTAGCCAGAGTAACCGTAGCCGGAGCCGCGATCATAGCCGGAAGAGCCTCGCCTATAGTAATCGTCGTATCCTCTGCCCTCGTAGCGATCGTAGGTGCGTGGCGAATAACGATCATCGCGCCCATAGTATCTGTCCGAGTCGCGATCTCTGCCGCGATCCTCGTAACGATCATAGTAGTACCAGGTGCTGCGCGGATCATCGCCACTGCGACTCGAGTAGCCACCGCCATAGCGATCGCTGCTGCCATAGCGATCCCCGCCGCCATAGCGATCCGCGCCTCCATAGCGATCTCCGCCGCCATAACGATCGGTGCTGTAGTAGCGATCCTCATAGCAGCGTACGCAGCGTGATTGGCGACTCTTGCCATTGCCGCGTAGCACTGAGTCCAGGACTCCGGCAGAGCCCGCTGTCACCCGTCTGTCATTGGCAGTGGGCGTGGCACTGCGCGCCTCAGGTCCGCGCGACGACGCCTGGACACAGACAACGGCCAGGCAGAGCAGCTGCAAAAGAGTCGAAAGAGTTCACAGTTGAGAGTTTGAAGTTGCGTGATCATTAGCTGATTGTTTATGGATAGATTTCACAGTCCAGCGACCAACTGGGCTAAAGCCCTCAGCCTCCAATCATAATTGACGAAAGTACTGCCAAAGTGCTGCTCGAAATACAAAGCCATATGTGTAGAAATCATCAGCAGCGTCATTATGATCATTAAAAATATGGACACTCGTCCGCAGTGAGCGTGAAATATGATCAATGGACGGTGCGAGCGAGCGAGCGACCGAGCGAGCGAGTGAGTTTGGCTGTCTGTAGCTCTGGCCAGCTAGCTTCGATTATGCAATAATAGAGCATAGATTAGGGCTCAAATGGCAGCCGACACCTCCCACATACTAATAGAAGTTCAAGTAATAATAATAGATGGAACTATACTAATTAAAGCGCACAGCCCAAAAATCATATTCATATATTCATAAAATAGCATTGACATCATTTTATTTTCATTCATGGCTGGAATCATAAAGTTCACTTGTCCACTTCACCCTCTCTCTGTCTCAATATCTCCCTCTCTCTCACTCTCTAAAAGAGTTAATCATGAATATATGCTGGCGAGCTGCTCCGCTACGCTTTGTTAGTCAAGCATCAGGAACAACTTCCGCTTGGCGGGGTTGGCTTTAACCAAAAATAAAAAATATTAAAAAAAAAAAAAAAAAAAACCAAAACTGGCCAATCGCTGAATCTCGAGTTCGTGACTTGTGTGCACTCTTTATTAGAATAATTATATACATATATTATATATATGTATACGAATTTTCTACTAACTATTAACGGTMAGCATATTTTTGGCAGGGACTTTAACATTAATATGCCATTTACATAATATTCCATGGAATTTCTATACATATTACATCATAGAGCAACAGTTATGCGTGAGTTCTTTGCAAACTCATTGCACAATGCGTAAGTCAGCGATATGCTCATATAACGACTACTGAAGTGACCTACGATTTGGAGTTATCTGTAGACGAGCTCTAAATTTTATAAAGTCTCTGTGATGATTAGACTCTGTGCGTGTAAACTACATATAGATTGACATAATTTAACAAATTTAATAAGATCTAAATTCTTAGTTGTGTCTGTATCGGCTTACCTGAGCTAACTCTAGTTAGTTCTAGGTAGTTCTATTTAGTTTAGATTAATAATAATTTTACCCAAATTTTTTATTTTCAATGGGTTCAGGGCATAAAAATTATGTATTTTATTTTGCTTCTATGAGTCTCGGTTAGGGCTTTAATTCTTTCTATATGTTTGGTTGTGTAAAAATTATATTTTACAATTTTAATATCGCTCCTCCCTTGTATAAAAGATTCTATTACTCTGATTTAATTATTTAATTAAGACAGAACTTCTAATAAAAATTTTAAACTTATAAAAACAAAGCCTGTCTCCGGTTTCCATAATACATTTCATCTACTTAATTTCATTATTCTTACTATCATTATTA